TGAGATGCAGGCACACAGCCCTTTTGGCAAACTCTCTTGTAGGAGTGGTAATCTCCAAGGAGAAGAGGCAGACAGCTGGGACAAAAGGGAATACTGTAAAACTTGCCATAGCTTTCTTTATGACAAAGTCAAAGATGTTAGTATCATTACTTTGTGATGTAGTTTCTCAGAGAGCACAGTCTTATGATTCAAGCCAATTTAAAGCTATCCTGACACTGAAAGAGAAATCTCACCCTTACCCAACACATGGCCCTGCCAAGTCTCCATATCAACACTAGCGTTTATGCAGCCACGCAGTGAGAGTCTGACCAAAGTGATCCAAGCTAACCATGCAAACAACAAAAAAACCTCAACAGCCCTCCCTTGTTTTCGGAGGGATGAGTGAATTAACCCTGCTCCCCACACATGCCAGTACTGACAGACACGGAGGAAAAAAATGTATGGCTAAGAGAAGGGAAAAGAAGGCAGGAGGGACTGCATGTTTCTGTATCATCAGTCTTGCATCAGCTTGAGCAGAATAGGAAGGATGAATAGAAAAAAGTGACAGAGGCTTGAAGTGTCAAAAGTGAAAACTCACCAAAAAGAAAAGCAATTCTTTACTTGTTCCACTATGTGGTATTTGGATAGGGTTCATTAGTCTGCAGCTCCCCTCTCTCTACCTTTTTGAAAAAAGTAGCAAACCCTGTTCATAACAGTTACCGAACTACAGCTTAATACTAAGTTGTTTTCCTCTCGCTATGTTTCCTATAGCGACTGAAAATAATTTAGCGTATTATCTGGGAACATATGAAAACTAGGTTTTATGAAATTTGAAAAAGGATCATGAAATCGACAACCATCAACAGACAAGTATTACAACAAATATAATGTTATTGTGACTTTTGGTTGTTACTTCCAAACCAGGGTAACTAACAACTGCTACCTAACGGGATGGTCCTGCTCTCTTCCAAACCCTGGCTGCGTGGTCCTGCAACCTTTTTTGTGTCACGCCGGCAGCTGTGTGGGTACAGGATGAGTTGGTTCAGTGAACTGACATGACAGAAAACTAATCCTCCAGTAAAAAACTGAGAAACTTCACAAATAAATTGTTTTCTGCCGGATCAAGTCAATGAACTAATTCATTCTCAACTGAAGAATCACTTGGTCCATTGTAACCAGAAAGGAAAGGAATACGTAGCTGGAACTAGAGGGGATGTGGACTGACCTTTTCAATAGTAGCCCACCATTACAGCAGTTTAACTGTGATTTTTTTTTTAATATATATATCTATATACACACACACACACAGAGTTCCATGCCAAGATTAGCACTTATACGTTATGAATTGTGCAATTGTATTTCAGAGTTTCCTTCTTCCCCTACTCAATCTGATATCACTTGACAATAAAAGTCTTTAAAGTATTTAAGATAACTTAATTCTACATAAAGTCTTCTACTAATCTTTACAAATTGCTCCTACCTGAAAAAAGTCTTCACTCTACCTTCCAATAGACACACTGTTCCAGCAGCACATACTCTAATGTTAAAAGTCCCCTGTTAATTACAGCTAAGTATACAGGTTTTCATGAAAGAACCAGAAGCCTCTTTCCAGCATAATCAAAATCTAAGCAAATCATGTCACTCATGCTCTTATGAGTTTTAAGAAAGAGAACTGTCTAACATACCTGAAGTATATTATAATGATGCAATTTATAAAAGCAGACATGTATGAGGATGATTAAATAGCTTGCTTTTATTTCTCTGATGGGGATTTAATCAGCAGTGGGCATATCTTTAGCATTTTTCTTCTCCTTGCATACCTATGCAGGGGTTTTGTTTGTTTGTTTAGGAGTAATACGCTGTTTGGAAAAGAATCTCTTTTTTTGGTATCATATTCTCTGTAACTTAACAAGGCTCAGTGGAAACTTGGAGATCTTTCTATTCAAGACAGGATCTCCTACTCCCCACTTTCCTTTCTGAGTCCATATGAATTGTGATTTCAAATTTCCACTTTAATATCATCATTAGCTTAACTTCCTTCAGGCTTTCCCTGTAACTGCTTCCTCTCATAGATTCTAGTATAAAGCCGATGTGGTTATCAATGAATACTCCATTGTTAGCACATTTTCAAATGCCCACAAGCCTCCAATAAGCCTTCCACCCATTTCCATTTTGACTGTTTCTTCAGATAACCCATTTCCAATTTTCCATTTTAGCTCTCTACATAATAATCATGAAGAAAATATTGTCATTGACAAAGATGACTAATCTCTCCAGAGCTCTTACATACTTCCCTGGGTTTCCTCTATCGCCAGGTTCCCAAAACTGTCGTCTTTTTTCCAGATAAAACTATTCAAGATTATAAACAGAGTTTGGCAAAACAGGAAACAATGGTTTTATGTTTAAACTTAGCATTAATCAGTCAGGCTATTCTTCCATCTTTTCCTTGAGACTTCTAATCCGCTTATGAATTTTCAATAACTTGCTGTATTGTTTCTTTAATAGAGATTTCCCTTCTTCCAAAATGATTACTACTGCCTTCAGCCTGATTTTTAGATACGACCACAGGAATACCCATTTCTAAATAAATTTTAGAAAATAGAAAATTACATGTCAATAGACTTTCTTCTATTTTATTTCAACTCTACTTCTTAGAAGTGCTCTCAAATCTTTTATTAGTTTATGCTTAAAGGTAATTTGCCTGACTAATTGGACTAAGCCACTTTTTCCTTGGTCTTACAAGATGCATCGCAGAAGGCTTCTAATTGCTTCTCCTAGCAATGGATGCTGAGGTGAAAAGGCAAAGAATAAAGTGCTGAAAAATAGGTGAAGAAAGAGACAGTTGCAATTACTGAAAGAAAGGTTTCTGTATCAGGCTGACATAAAACTGGTTCCAAGTAACGGGAAAGCAGGGCATTGTGCCTGCCTTGTCTTGACAGAGCTGAGGAATGAAAGCTTGACCCAAACTATAAACCTGCATAAAAGCAGTAAAAAAAAAAAAAGAAATCTTTAAGTCTTGACCAAGTCAATCACAAAGACCATCAAGCAACACTGAAAAGTGACAGCATCTCCATTAACATATAGTCAACTACTTTTGTAAAAAACAAAACCAAAGGTGTGATCTGATTAAACATTTAGAAGATCTTGCATGCAACATCACAAAATTATTCAAACCTAAACAACATACAGAAGAAAACAAAACATACGTCGCATTTTTAGCCCATGACAGAACACACTGGAGTGTATCAATAGAAAAGTCTTCTGGGTGGTCTTTCATAGTCTAGTTGAGAGTTCAAGCATACTCACTGCTAAATTGCATCGAGAAAAGTACACACACAAAGTGCAGATCCTTAGCCTGTACTTCTGGAGTGCCAAAAACTTGAAATTACCTCTCAGCGGCAATCAAACACTCCCCCAGTTTGGCAAAATACTGAACTAGAGTATATAACAAATTCAGCAGAAATTCTGGATCAACAAAACAGTCTGGAGTGGACCCTTTAAGTTAGAGTGGCAAGAATTAAAAAGATACTCCAAAACATTTGCTGAGGGTCTGTTCAGACCTTGTTAGTTGTTCACATCAGGAAAGATGGCTTAGGGATAGCTTTTATTTTATCCTCTCCTGCCAACATACTACGCTGACTGTTCCAGCCAGTTCTATGCATGTCTTATTGCATCTGTAAGGAGAGCAACCTCCCAGGATTTTATTATTAATTAGGTTATGATCCCATTATGAGATTTATTATTTTTATTAAACATAAAAATGTTTAAACTGCCTTTTTAAACAAGGAGTTTCCATAGATCAAAAGGAAATTTTGAAATAGTCAAGCTAAAGGCCATAACATTGTATTTTTCATTTGCCTTCTTACTAGGACAGAATCATGTGAAAGAAACTAAAGAAAACTTTTAATCTTTCCATAAACTAAAAGATGAGAAGTACCAAAGAGGGGAATTGGATATCTTATTACAGATACTTAAAGAAGAAAAAATAAATTAAAAATTATTATTTCTCTGTCAAAATGCAGGCAGGATTTTGTACTTAAACCACCTGAATAGTTATTAAGACAATACTGAGAAAGTAATAATTTTCAAAATAGCAAAGTACTGCTAAAGCAGTTAGATTTTCTTTTTTCCTGAGAGAGAGAAAAACATTTGCTTGATCCTTTGACGTTTGATACTTACCAATCTAGGAATCAAAATAATAAAATCTGCATTTAGTATAATAAATAAAAACACGCTGTTTCATACTAAAAAATACTAAGTTGGATGAGTAGAAGAAAATCTTTTTTTTCAAGGGTCAAATATACCTTAAGACATCTAAGCTAAACTACTAAAATATACATAGACCTCAGCGTGTAATTCTGACTCTTGCTGCGAGCAGAGAAGAGACTGCCTGCCATACAGCAGGCCACCTGGGTCCATGTGAGCACTCCTGAGACAATCAGCAGTTAACTGCAGCATAAAATTCATAAGCCTTTGACCCTGATAAAGCCTTCAGGATGAAATATTTAAGTAGAATTGTTTATGGTATTTAACTACACACCAGTGCCTTTTTCTCTATTAACGTTTGGGGACTTCTTTTCCCCAGCAGGGCTAGCATTGATCCGTTTGAGTTGTTTTGCAGAACAAGCGCAAAGAAAACATACAAGAAACCCACGGACATTAAAATAGCCCCACTATAATTTTGGAAAGTAAAATTTTACACGGACAAAACATAAAAAAAAAAAAAAAAAAAAATCCTTAAATCAAGGTGCTAAAAATCATACTTAGCTTTCTAAATATGCAGTCTTTTTCTCTGAGGCTTATATGGCTCTGAAAATGCTGAGCTTCCAAAAATTACAGTTTGTGTCTGTTTCAGAGTCACTTCAGGATCCCCTTTTGAATACTTTGGCCCAACTGTTAATGTGACCTTCTGTTTCCAATACAACAGTTACAAATATGGGAATAACCACATCTGTATATAAACATTCATCTTACCACTTATAAAATAAACCAGAAAATTTATAGAACAGTTTTGTACATACCAATACACCATTTTCACATGTCCAAGCACTTGGATTAGATTCAAGTTTACTGACACAAACTATAAATCTGTCTGGAAACACACGTAGCTCTATAAAAAAAATAATTGAAAAGAAGATTACAAAAATTATATGCATGTTAAAAAACACAGATGACAACATATATACATGTTATTTTAGTAAACAAAATTTATTTTTTAAATTGCACACTAACTCACTTCATACACTACTACTTTCTTACCTACTCTTTTCAACATCCCGTCCCTGCTTTTGTGGGTTTTTTTTTTTTTTAATGGTTTAAAAAAAGCAATAATCAATAAGTCAGAGTAAGTTTAGTTCCCAAGAGGATAGTCATGGCTGCAAATTAGTGCACCTGCACCCTTGTACAAATATACAAGACAGAACCAACAGACAAACCACTTAAGGATTATTTCCTTTGTGCTATTCTGTTGATAAGTCTTTTCATCACAAAAGCTGTAAAACATGTTTGGAATACAGCACAACATATTCAGTCAGGACTTGGCATAAAAACTCAGCATAAGGTTAAGTGTTTGAAACTGACTGAAGTGATTTTTGAAGTCATTAAACAAATTGGTTAACTACTACTGAATTACATGTTTTACTCAAGATCACATGGTTTGTTGTGAACACAACACAGTTTCTGTTTACCAAGAATTAAAAATTGAAGGGTCGTCAGATTAGAGTAGACCAGACACAGCTTTATTTAGTACCTAGCAATGGTATGAAAAAAGTATAGCTGGATATTTTGTTATTTTACATATCAGATTATTTCCAGATTAATATCTTCATAATTTCAGCTCAAATTTTTTTTGTTGTTGGTTTTTGGTGTGGTTTGGTTTTATACAAGGAAAGTTACTGATTTTTAACATTTGTTATACTTCAAAAACGAGCCGTAACACCATATTTTCTGGGACGAGACAGACAAGGTATACAGAAAAAACATGGGGTTGACCTCATAGGTATTTTTCGTAGAACATGTACAATTTGCCAATGACAATCAGGTCATCCATATGGGCAACTGCCTCTCTACAAGGTACTGCTCCTTCACCAACTGACGTGCCTCCATCAATAACTGACAAATCCCTCCAAGTGCATACCAGCAGCGACTTTTCTAGTCATTACAATGAAAGATGAGGATGTTGAAACAGATTACCTTGCATTTGCCATTGGTTGAAAAAGCATAAACAAAGACCTCAGATGCATCTGTATTGGCACGATAGCTTGTTAAGCTACTATAACTTGATAATGAACATGAGCCTTTCATAATCCTGTCAGAAATATCAACTCTGTTAGTAAAACTATGTTCAAGGAAGTCTTCATGCTGTGCTTTATGTCCAGACTATTCTTTCTCTGCTTGTACCCTCAAGACCTGAAAGCCACCCCCAAAGGTCTAGTACAATGGCTTTCAAACTGCGAGCGGTTGATGGACATCTTCCAAATGGGCTACAAAAGAAAAGCTGGACAACTGTTGCAAAGACTGAATTTGTTATGTGGGGTTCCAATAACAGTCTCTTTAAAGTATGCAAAAATTCTCCTCCCATTAGTTTCAATGTCTGGTTTTTATTTGTTACGTACTAGGTGTATCTTACAGAACGGAAACATTGGTGCCAAATTATTTATTTTTTTAGGATGTGTGCTTATTATTCTATTTATTTGGAATGAAACCCAGCAAAAAGGAAGTTCCTTTCTTGTTAGGAACTTCATGTGGAAGCAAAGTTTTGACTGCAGCATCAGAGCCTCTCTTTTTGGCAGCACTAGTAGGGCAAGTTCATTCCAGTTAGGCATTTTTATTGTTACATTTTATAACTATCTCACTTGCTGGCTAACAAAATGGAAGTATCTTTAGGTATTCACTGATGATTAAAAAAAGTTCCAGTTTAATACACAGAAACCAATGCTGAGATACCAATGCTGGCACTCTGCTATTCTATTCTAACTATTCTTCCAGAAGGCTGGGAGAACATGTTTGATGAAATATTTAAAATCAACACTCCAATCTCTTCAACCAATATGGACATAGAAAACAACTAGCTGGCATTTGAAGAAAGATTTAAACATTTATGAATATAATTAATTCCTATAAAAATAAGAAATTCTTTTAAAATATCCATTCTAGCATTCAATATTTTTAAGGGCACCTAATTGATTTCTTTTGCTTTTTTTTAATATGAAAAGCTCAACACAAAGGGCAGTGATCATTATAGCTCCTTTTTATTGCTGTTGGTAGGACAGGATTGATATCACTTCCTTACAGAGCATCTTGGCTTGAGAAAACATGAAAAAAAGATCTGGCCCAATGACATCACCTATGTAAAGATTTTATAGCACTGAGGTGAATGAAAGCCTTTTCTTGCATACACTTGTACTGTACAGTTGATGTCACAAGACACTCAAGCAATAATGAAATGATTCATACTGCAACCTCTGGTTGATTCACCCTGCAGAGACTCAGTAAAATGCTGAGTCTTCATCATACTTACAGAATTTGGTGTGGCTTAGTTGATTACCCTGGGGCAAGGCATACAAAAATTTAAAATTATGTTTAAAAAAACCCCAACAAACCATCATATGTTAAGAAACTTTTTTTTTTTTAAGAAACATCCTCTGAAAAAAATCAAAATCAAGCTCTGGAAGAAATTTTGATTAAGTAGACCAAAACCTGACAAGTATTAGTTTATGTTCCCTTTTGTCTCCCAGAAATGCAAAATTCTAAGTAACACCATAAGAAACTGATTTCTTACCACGATAACGTTTCC